ACCAAAATAAGACGAAATGTTATCGCTCGCGAATGATGACGGGGCACCGGCCGGCCCACGCCGCTTGCGAAGCATTATTTTCAAGACTCTGTTGCTGGCGGCAATTTTATCTGTTCTCTGCCACTGTCGTCCGGCGTTGCGAAAGGTGTCGCCATTCCGCTCTCTTTTCCCTTCTCCCTGCAGCGTGCCTGCTTTCTTCTTCAGGCCGTACTTCGGCGGGGGCGCGCCACCCTTATCGGCCAGGACGCGGCGCCACGCCCACTTCTCTTTCCGCCGCCGTTTCAAAATAAAAATTAAAAATACCGCGATGACCGCCGCCGCGCGCTGCCCGGGGGCGGCGGCGAGGTGGGTGCACACCGCCGGCGGGCGGCTCGGTGACGTCGGCGACTTGCTTTTACTGTTGCCTGCCAGCGTACCAGCCGACGAGTCGTCTTCGTCGCCCTGTCTCTCTCGCACCCATCGGGAACGCCCAGTGAGTGCGAGAGAGACAGAGCTACGCAAACGACTCTCGGAATGAGACTGCAGCGGGCCGGCGAGGCGAGCGTGCTGCGCGTGCCACGGCTACACCTCCGGCCCCGCGGCGGCTGCACTGGCCATGCAGTGCTATGCAGTGCTATGCAGCGCTATGCACGGTGTGGCGCGTCGCCCTGCTGCAGGTTTCTTTCTCTCGGGTTTTTTGTCTTGAATGCGTCAATCGCCTCTGCGTTTACTACGTCGTAGCGTTCACCCGGGTGACACGTCCACCAGTGTCCGTCCGCTACTACCTCGCCGACGGCACTGCCCGCGCCGCGTGGGTGATGAACGGGTTGCCGATACAGCAACCACCCTACCCGCCCAGATTGCGAACTGTATAATCGTCCGTCGCCTGCCGCTGCAATCACACCGGGGCCGCCCCCTGCGCCGCCGGTCGCTGCAATCACACGGGGGCCGCCCCCAGCGCCGCCCGGCCGCCCCCGCGGCGGGTTCGTTGCCTCCCTGCCGCGGTGCTGCCGCGGTGCAGGCAGCGGCGCCGAACTGGACGCGCGTCGTAGTTCGCAGTGCGCCGTGCGATGCCCACTGATTCCGGACCGCTGTCTCTCTCGCACTCGTGGTGCGCTCCGCAGGGGTGCGAGGGAGACGGCGACATCGCCGTGCTCGCCGTGCTGGCCGTCTGCAGCAGGGAGGCAGGAGTATCGGCCGGCATCGGCGCCGCGAGGCGTGCGTTGACTTGCGAGGCTTGCGAACGATAACCGGGACCGTGGCGGCCACGCCGCGCGGGCCACCTTCACCCACTGGGGGCTTTGGGTGCCGAGCCTCGCCACGAGAAGTACTCTTATCTCCGATCGCGGTGCTCGGCCGGGGTGGCCGGGACGGGGCCAGAGCGGCTGTGGCCGCGGGGTGCATGACGGTCCACACCACGGACCTTCCAGCGCGGCAGCGCCCCGTCAGCCTGCCAGCCCAGGGGTTGCCCACCACGCTGGGAAGCTTCTAGGCGGCGGTGACGAGCCGCGGACTTCCCTCGCAGCCGACACGCCCCGTGGTGCGCTGTCTCTCTCGCACCTCTACGGGACGCCGCACTACAGAGACGAGGCAGCGACCTGCGCGGCGGCGGCGGCGCCACGACGCCGTGCTCGAGGTGGCGGTGCACGCGGGGGCGCCTTCTTCGCCTTGCGCGCGGCCGACCGGCCGATAGCGCGTATCGCCGCAGCACGCGCCACGCCACGCCACGCCACTGGCAGAAGCAGAGCGGCGACCGATACCACGTGGCAGTGCGAAAACCCCGCGCCCCTCCTGGCCCTGCTACGCCACTGCTACGCCACCGGTCCCACTGGTCATCGCGGCACAAATTTGGCCGCCACCGTCATGGGGAAACTAGGGCCGCGCTGGCGGTTTTTTCGTGGTGTCGTGGTGGCGTGTTGGCCGTGTCCACTCGTTGCCTGCGGGGAGGCTGTGGAACATCGGTACATGTCTCAAATCGGCCAAGAGCCATCAAAATGACGCCAAAGTGAGGACGGACCATTTTTTTTCCGGCTTGGCTCTGACCCTGCCGGCTGCGTCTTGCTACGCCTGGCGCCCGGACCACCCGGACCGCACCACGGTGATCTTCCAGGCTTTCCAGCCTTCCAGCCTTCCAGCGCGGCTAGACAGCATTACTCGGCAAATAATAGGCTGGCTCGTATTCCCACTGCCGACGGCCGACGCGTTGACGGTGACTCTGCCGGCATTCTACTGGTCATCAAGGAGGCGAGAGGCTCGGACCGACGGGAACCTGGCCGGCGACTGGGGCCCGTAAGTGCCTCGAGAACCGGCTCCAGTTACCCGGCTTCTCCCAGCCTCTCCCCCGCTATGCATCGCCGGGATGACGCCAATGGCCCCTGCCCTACCGGCTCGCCGGCCTGCCTGCCTGCCTGCCCCGTCCGCCCCGCCTGCAGCCCATCATGGGCATCATCCAGCCTGAATGTAGCGGGGCCGTGCGTTCGAGTTTGCCCGGGGATTCCCCGCATCCTTAAAGCCGCCGCTGGAGAGAAGTGCAGAAGAGGGCCTCCGTGGGAGTGAGTCGCCCGGGGCACACTGCGTGCGGGAGACTGCCACTCAAGAGAGAGACAGGAACACAGTTGCGGGGAGGCTCTCTCAAAAGTGAGACAGAAACACGGTTGTGCTGAGCAGTGTCGAACGCAGTCATGTGTGCACGGAGACCCTCGCGAGTGGAAAGTGAGACAGAAACGCCGCCGTGCGGGGGAGGGCGAGGGGTGATCGGATCACCGTGATCCCTGAAGGCTGAAGAGCGAGACGGCCACACTGATATATGCGGGGGCGGCGCTGGGCGGGTGGATCAAAGTCCCGGACGAGTTTCACATGGGCTTGCGATAAGCAGCGACCCATATGCGAGGGCAGGCCGGCAGGCACAGCCCAAGGCACCCCGGGCCCCCAAGGCGCACGACGGGCACGACGGGCACACGCACGGCAGACTTTGCCTTGGTTCCATTAATTCATTAAGGCGACGTGATTGGCCGATGGGCCGATTGGCTGGTGGCTGCGGCTTGGCCCGGCCCGGCCCGGCCCGGCCGGCGTGGTCGGCGCTGGCAGCGGTCGGGCACTCGCCGCGGTCGCCGGCTCGGCGTGTTTTGGCCGCGAGCCTATATAAAGCCGCAGCCGCTCTCCCCCCTCTTCATTCGAGCTTTTCTCGCCTCCCAAGTCGCTTCGCCGCTTCGTCGCTGCGTCCGACTTGCCCAACCGCCCCGCGCTCAGCCGGTGCCAACGTAGTGCTGCGTCGCGAGTGCCTCAGTGCGTGTGTGAGTGTGTGTCAGTGCCCTCGTTGTGCCAGTGTGTGTGAGAGAGCCAGCCAGCCGCCACCATGTTCATCAACCCGCTGAACCGCAAGTACTCCACCATCCGCAAGATCGTGGACAGGATCCTGAGCCCCGAGCAGGAGAACCAGCGCAACAAGTACGCCAAGGGGTCCTCGCTGCGCGGCGGCAGCAGCTCGTCGTCCATCCAGTCCAGCTCGTCGTCGGGCTCCTTCGGCTCCTTCGGATTCCGGAAGTGAGCCGGCCGCCGTCCGGGCCGCCGCGCGCTGCCCCCATGGCTCCAGCAGTAGCAGCCCCCCGCCCCCGGGGCCCCCGCGGCCCCCGGCTGCAGAGGCCGTCCCCCAAGCCGCCCCCCGGGGGCGGGGGGACGGAGAGACACCGTCGCCGGGGAAGAGACTGAGGTCCGACCGCCGGCATGGTGACGTCTTCGACACCGCCTAGTCATCACCGTCATCCTCATCGCCATCTCCATCGTCAAGAACGCCGTCAAGAATGAGAAGAAGAGAAGAACAAGTTGCTTTTGCAGACTAATCGACTGGTGAGTGTCTCGGAATGCCCCCTCGTTGTCAAGCGGCCGCGCTGGGACTCGGATAGGTCGCCAAAAACCAGCCGGCTAATTTTAGAAAACCGAAAACCGGAAAAAACCGGGCGCAGCACACATTTGGCATTACTGTCTGGGCCAAATTCTGGCGGCCTGCCGACCTAGAGCAGGGCCTGGCCAGGCCTGGCACGGCCGTTCTGCTGGAGAAGGTGCCAGAAGGCGGAGCTAGCAGAGCGGGTCCGACAACCACGTGCGCTGCGCGCGCTGCGCCGGGCTGGGGCCTGGTCCAGCCGCGGCAGCCGGGACCGGAGCGGTGACCGGAACAGGTTCAGGACCGTCAGGACCGCCAGGACTGCCAGGACTCAGGGGCAAGGGTACGAGAACGAGATCCGGTCTGGCTAGCCGCACTCCACGCCGGGCAGGGACGCCTTCCGTCGTCACCGGCGCTGCTGGCGCTGCTGGCGCCGCATGACGTCACGGTCGTCACGACCAACGTCACGCCGAGGATGCGGCGAGCGGCGCTCGCGCGCGGGTTCACAGCCATTACCAGTAATTCCGATGTAATTGGCCGCGTTTATGTAGACCGGCCGCGTTGACGCAGCGTGCACACTCCGGACAGTAGAGCAGCGCCTGTCTCTCTCGCACTCGTGCCCCGTCTCGTCTCGCCCCGCGCAGGTGCGCGGGAGGTGGAATCAGGCTGTGCTTGCCGTGCTTGCCCACGTGCCTTGAGCAAGGCGCCGCGTCTTGAACGGGCGATTAAGGTCTTGAGCAAGGCGCGGCAAGCTGCGCGGAGCGGCGCCAAGCACGGCCTGCGCTGGCCTCCTCGATGTAGGGCGTGAGTCGCGCGGCCCGTCCAGGCCCGGCTGGGCCGCATCACGCCACACGCGACGATGAAGCGGCGAAGCGGCGAAGCGCGCGCGGCTTGCCGAGTTTTTCCCCCGCGCACTGCGCGGACTGTGTCAACACGCCGGCACGGCGGCACGGCCAGCTGGCCGAGTCGCTCTGTCTCTCTCGCGCCCCTTCGGAACGCCCCACGGGTGCGAGAGAGACGGGGCTGAATGGCCGCTCTTGTTGCTGGAACGCGTTCGGCCGCACCGCTCGAATGGTGGCGTTGCTCTAAAGGCGTTGCTCCAAAAGCATTGCTCTAACGTGTTGTTGTTTGTGTGTTCCAGGCCGGTGGCCCAGCAGCTCATGGCTGGGGAGATGGTGCGGCCCGAGCAGTTCGAGTGCGTCACCGTCTACTTCAGCGACATCGTCGGCTTCACCGCCCTGTGCGCCGAGAGCACGCCCATCCAGGTAAGCGACCGCCTCCGCGGCCCGTCGGCCGGCCGTCCTTGCTGCGACCTTGCGCTAGCTGCGCGTCGTCGTCTTGTTATCGTGCCTAACGCGTGCTCCTCGCCCTGCCGCAGGTGGTCGACTTCCTCAACGACCTGTACAGCACGTTCGACCGCATCATCGGCGCCTACGACGTGTACAAGGTGAGTGTCGTGCGTGTCATCACCTCGCTGCGCCGCTGCGCCGCCAGTGCGTTGCCCAATGTGTGTGTTGTGTTGTGTCTGCTGGCGCCTGCATGCCCTGGGTGACCTCCTCGCCACGCTGGCCGGCCGCCCCGCCCCGCCCCGCGCTAGATTGGGGCGCGGGGTCAAAGTCCAAGCCGGCCACCGCCACGAAAGCAGATGCAAAGGGACTGGCAGGGCGGGGCGGGGCTCAGCCCGGCGAGTGGGCGGTTCGGTACCAGTTTGGTCCAGTCCGCGCCACTGCGCCCTCAAGCCGCAGGCTTATTCCGAAACGGCCCTTCTCTCTCGAAGCCCTACGGGCCACTCCACGAGTGCGAGAGAGAGGGGGGAGTCAGAACGACGACGCACCGTGTCGGCATCACAGCCTGCTGCAGGCCGCGACCGGCCGCGACGGGCCCGGGCCGTGGCGGCCGTAGCCCGGGAACCACCCGTACGAAACACGAAATCCGCCCATAAAAGCAGCGCTATGCAACAACTCGTAAACGAGGCGGGCGATATGATCGGGCTGGGGCACAATGTGGAGCTGGGGCTGAAGCCAGGGCGCAAGTTGGGGCTGGAGCTGAAGCCGGTGCTGAATTAAGCTTGGAGCGGGCGGCACCAAGGCGGCACCGCCGCGGCCAGGGCGTTGGCTCGGCGTTGGCTCGGCGTTGCCTTTGCCTTGCCTATGCCTTCCTTATAGGACTAGGAAGCGCGCGAAGCTAGTGCAGCAACGCGGCAACGCGGCCGCAATGCGATCGCCCTCGCCTTGCTTCGCCTCCACTTGCCCCGCTTATGCTTGCCTTATTGTGTCTGGGCCCCGTGCACTCCGTGCCACTCCGTGCCACTCCGTGCCGCTGGGCCGGTGTGCGTGGCAGGGCGGGCCGGGGCGACGGGTGTGGGCAGTGGCAGACACTATTGCGCAAAAGCGCGGCCCGGCCCGGCCCGGCCTGACCGGCGAACCCGCCTTGAGTGTTGCTGCCCCCGCTGCCCGCTGCGCCGCCGCGTCCCCCAGGGCCTGGCCCAGGCCGTGTGCCGTGTGTGCACATGTACGGAGCAGGCGGTGCTGCGGTGCAGCGCAGCGACTCCGAAAAAACGACATGGCCTCGGCGGCCGCCTCGACCGCCACACTCTTGTCTAACCGCGTCCGTCTTTTGTGTGCCCTCTCTCAGGTGGAGACGATCGGTGACGCCTACATGGTGGTGTCCGGGCTGCCGGAGCGCAACGGCGACCAGCACGCCCGCGAGATCGCCCTGATGGCCCTGGCCATCCTGGACGCGGTGCGCACCTTCCAGATCCAGCACCGGCCCGACCAGCAGCTCGCCGTGCGCATCGGGGTGCACTCCGGCCCCGTGTGCGCCGGCGTGGTCGGCCAGAAGATGCCGCACCTCTGCCTGTTCGGCGACACCGTCAACACCGCCTCGCGCATGGAGTCCACCGGGCAACGTAAGTACCGCGGCCCTCTGCCCTCTGCGAACGGTCAAGTCGAACGTCGCGTTGACCCCCGCCTTTCTTTGACCCGCAGCGCAGAGGATCCACGTGTCGGACGCGGCGCGCCACCTGCTGGACAAGCTGGGCAGCTTCCGCCTGGAGGAGCGCGGCATCGTGGAGCTCAAGGGCAAGGGCCGCGTGCGCTCGCACTGGCTGCTGGGCTGCACCGAGTCCGACCCCCGCGCCGAGGCCGCGCTGGCCGTGGACACGCCCCCGCAGCCCGTGTGCCACTGCGGCGGCGAGGTCCCCGACCCGAGCAACCCCTACCCGCTGCTGTTCCCCGCGCTGTCCTCCTCCAAGTAGACGGCCGTCCTCGTCCTCGCGACGCGGCCCGCGCGGGTTGCCAGGTCCTGGCTGGCCAGGTCTGACTGCTTGCCGGCCGCGGGGCGTGGCGGGGCGTGGCGGGGCGTGGCGGGGCGTGTCAAGGCGAGGCGGCCCGGGAAGACAGAAGCTCGTGGCGCAAGACGGCCGGCCACGCCACGACAAACTGAGCCGCTAAAGCACACTCCGGGGACGCACCGAGGAGGTGACCGACGAGCTGCAAGGAGGTGGCCGCAGAAGGCAGAACCCACCGCGCCGCCTTCCAGCAGCCCAGCAGGGGACGCCACACGCCGAGCGCAGAGCCGCAGTGGCTTCGTTCCACTTCGTTCGCTTCCTTTTCTAACCGCGGGCGCGCGTGCCGTTGCCGAGTAGCGTGTAGCGTGTAGATTTTCACACGACGAATCCGTTCTTTTTTTGTTTCCCATATTCATTAGTGTCGTCATTTCACTCACTCCATGACGTGTCCGGCGAAAAGTAATGCTCCATTGCTTTGATTTACTCGTTTTACTGTGATATGATTTCATGTTTGCGTTTTGTTTTTGTTTTCTCATCCCCATCTTTGTTTTGTTTGTGTGTCCACCACCCGCCCCCACGTGCCGGGAGGGCCACGGCAGCTTCGTTTCATGTATTTATCAACTCGTCACTTAATTTATTGTTTTTGTTTTATGTGTAAAAATGTGATTTTCTCCAAAGATGGTTCGTGATAAGCCATATTTTTTTGTCACACAGCAAATGCCATTTATGTAGTAGCTTGTCTAGATGTACGCGTCAATTAACTTTATCGGTAACACTAGGAACAATTGTGACCCCTAATTCACCGAATCTTCGGAATCCTAGCTCTGGTGCTGTTAGCAGCACCGAAACCTACATAGATAAGATTGCCAGTGTACTGGAACTAGTTTTCTGGAGAAGCCCAGTCTTGCTATATTTTTCTGTCGTCTTAGATCGTGAACAAACTAACGACCTTTTGTTTCTGTAAAGTTAATCGCCCAAATGAAAGACATTCCTGAGAGGAGAGCTTTGTTTTGTTCAATGTTTATTAGAAAAAAATAAAAAGCGAAGAATGAATGACATCTCTCTGGTCATCACTAACTCACTTGTCCACTACTTCCTCGCCATTTTCAAACGCCATGCCGCTTTGCGTGACTCTCCGGCAGCACTAGCGCCAAAGGCGGCGTGGCGGCCGGGACGTGAACTATGGCGCTTCCGTCGCCAGTCGGCCAGTCCTTGGGCCAGTCGCCGCCTTTCCCGCGCCTTTCCCGCCAAACCCGGCCGAGTCGTTGACCATTCATTGCAATTCATTGCAATTCATTGCCGCCGTCCGTGCGAGGGGCTGCTTCTGCTCGGCTGCAACTCGGCCGCGAGAACGTGCGCGAAAAAGAAAACAAAGAAGAGTAGCACAGCAACACGGCGCTTGGCCCGGTGCAGCGCCGTGCTGAGTGGGACGTGGCCTGGCCCTGCGCGCGTTCTGCGTCTCGTTCTGCCGAGCTGTTCAAAAGATCGGTTTGTCGCTCTGTCTCTCTCGCGCCCTTACGGAGGGCCTCTTGAGTGCGACAGAGACAGGGCGACGAAACGACGCCTCTGAATCGTTCGGCTGCGACGCTGCGACCACCACCGGCCCGAGGTGCAACTTGCAACGCGGAACCACCATTCCGAATGGGAGCATCGGGACTACGCCTCGCGACTACGCCTCGGCGCAGCGCCCTGCCGCCCGATTCATCGCTCCGTCTCTGTCGCACCCATGGGGCGTCCCGCAGAGGTGCGAGAGAGACAGAGTGACGAATCGATCCTTCGGACTCACTCGGCTGCAGTCGAAGCCGCGGTCGCGTCGCACCCGCCGTTCCACCATGGTTCCACCGTTCGCCCGGTGCGGTCATCCAGGTTGGCCTTGGACACCGATGGAAGGGAGGGGGCCGGAGGGGAGGGGGCGGCGAGATGGTCTGAACGTCTGAACCAAACCGAACCGGGAGCTTCGCTTGCTTCGCTGGAGAAGCCCAAATGGTCCGCGTTTCGCGTCTAGCGCCTCACAGTGCATAGGGTGGCCAGCCAAGCAGTGGTGCCGAAGGGGTTGCCTATCGCAGCCTGACTTCTTGTCAACGTCGCCCAGCAAAGACGACTGGGCCCGACTGTGTGTGTCTGTGAGGTAGGCAACCCTTTCGACTCTGGCGCATCGTGGGAACTTTTACAGCCTGCCTGGCCACTGCACAGAAAGCATTCTCGTGCGTCGTGCCCCACGAGCCACACGCCAAAGGGTTGCCCAGGCGAGAACCACGTGGTCGGGCGCCACGCCGCGCCACGCCACAGCCTCCGATGGAAAACTTGAGCGTCCAGGCTGCGCCGAGCTGCGCCGGGCTGCCACTTTTTGCTCCCTGCTGCATCAATGGAGCCGAAACGTGGTCAGGGGGCCGCGGACACCGAGGACGGGTCCGGCAGCCTGGGCAGCCTGGGCAGGGGGACCGCGACCCAACCGCCGCCCGGCCGGGGAAGACCGAACCAACCGAACGGCCGCTGAAGGACATCAGCGCCGAGTCGCCCGGCCGCCCGACCTTTTTCTTTCTTTGCCTTTCCTTCTCTTTTGATGATGGGCTGATTGGTCGATCGGTTAGTCGGTTGGTTGGCAGGGCATTTCGAAAAAGCGGTATCGCGGATGGGTCTGTTGGCAGACGGGGTGGCGCGGCGCCCTCCGATAACACTTCTGCGAACGCTCCATCGAAACGAGCAGCAGTCGTCGGGCTGGGCGCGGCGGGCGAAGCCAGGAGGTTGGGAACGTTGGTCGGGTCGAGAGATCGATTCCGAATCGTTTCGTCGCTCCGCCTCTGCCGGGTGTCTGCAAGGTGTCTCGGGAAGAGCGGGGTGCGGATGCGGTGCTGAACTGGAGCAACGCTCCGCACTAAAGCTCGATGCTCTGCCCCCGTCCCCGTCCCCAGGCCGGCCCGTTGGGGACCGGCCCGGCTTGCCAGACTTGGCACAGCCGCGTCGTTCAGTTCGGACCCGTTGCCAGGCCGTGCCAGCCAGTTTCATTCCGAACAGGGCTTTGGTTGCTGTCTCTCTCGCACACGAAGTGAACGCCCCACGAGTGGGAGAGGGACAGAGCGACTGTCCCGGCCAATGCCTCTCCGGTAGTGCCGCACCGCGTCGTGGTCCTGCAGGACGCCACGGTGTCCCGGTCGCCAACAACACGGCCTGCATTGCGTGGGAGCGACGACCGAACTGTTAGGAATGAGCCAGCTAGCGTGGCGGCGTGCATATCCCCGCGGCCGCGGCCATTGGCCGTGCTGCTACGGGCTTTGCTGCGACACTGCTCGCGAGAGAGACAGAGCGACGAAAGCAGTGCTCGGAATGAGCCTGCCAGCGGCTTGTGCAACGCCCAATGCCGGCCGGGCAATGAGCACGCGGAGCACGCCGCCCTCAACAGGGAAGCGGTTTTTAGGACAGCCGACCGCGTGGCCGCGTGGCCAATGCGCCGCGCCGAGTGCGCTTTGCTCGCTTTGCGCTGCACTTTGCAGGGCGTTCCAAAAATTAGGGGCACGGAATGGAATCCGGCCGGCCGGCCGTTTGCGAATTGGCGCCTGTCGTTGAGCAACCCCCCCCCCCTTCCTGGAATTATTTGAGCATGCGCCCGATAGGCTGGCAACCCATCATGCACAGCCTCTTCGCCGCACGCAACTAGCTAGACCACCCTATTGGTAGGTCACAGGGTTGACTTTTGAAAGTTTTGTGTTGAGCCGGAACAACAGTCTTATGTGAAGTGGCGGGAAGTGGATTCAAAGAGAAATAAAACCATAATACAAAATCTGAGTATACATTAGGTTTATTCTATGAGACAGCAAAAAAAGTTCTTGATATAACTGGTTTGACCCTGTTTGATAATGGAGTAAATAGTAACAAAAGGTGTAAATAGTAACAAAATAAAATGTCAAAGTCTCACATTTATCACATATTTTTAAGTTCCTATTTACAATGAGAGTACAAAATGATAAACTTTTAAATAGAAAAAAAAAAGATTATCTCCATTTTTTTTTTAGTTTAATGGCACATGATGTTGGGTACAGGCTACAACAAATAAAACATTAGTGTGAAAGGTGACTGCAACAGATTCTTTCAAGTACATCAGATAAGTTTGGAGAGATTAACACAAAACATAAAACTTCTGTCAAGGGAATGAGGAGAGAACAAAGTTAAGTAATTTATTTTGGCATAATCTCACAAGATTAACTCTGCCATTTTCCTTGCAGCCAGAATCTCAATCCAGTATCCATCAGGGTCCTTGATGAAAGCAAGCCCCTTCATTTTGCCTGTTGAAAGAATAAAATATAAGAGACGGTGAATAATAGTTCAAGCAAGCAGGCAAAACTATTAAGAAAATTACCATCATTGGGCTTCTTAATGAATTCAACATTGAGTTGCTCGAAACGTTTACAAGCTTCATCAACATCTGGGACAGTAATTCCAATGTGGCCTGCAGCAACAAAAATGTTTGGGGTTACATAATTTTATAAAAAGATTGACTTAGCACTGAAACAAGTCTTCACAACATGAAATAAAACTCACCAAACCCTTTAGGTTCTGTGTTGCCAGTGTGATAAACAGCATCTGGATCAGTCTCAGTACCCCAATTGCTGAGATAAAATGCAAAAGTTAGATAAGACCTTGATACAAATTAACAAACGTTAAGGAGGGAGCAGATAAACAACTTACTGAGTAAGCTCAATGGTTGCTTTGCGGGTGAAGGTCCAGCGGATTCGCTCTGCTGGGTCAGTTGGGATTTCTTGAGCAGGTTCATAGCCCATGAAGTACAAAGAAAATTTCATTTCAGGAAAATCCAATTTCTGAAGGAGGCGCATCCCGAGCACTTTGGTGTAGAATGGAAGAGACCGTCTTGGATCTTTAATCCGATACATCGTTTGCTGCATTATGAAATCCTGAAATCAATTCGAATAAAAAATTAATCCTAACTTACATAATAGTCGTCAAAAAAATTAAAACAATAACTGGCATTGCAAATGAATATACCTTAGTTGCTGGATCTGGTTCCGGGCATAACTCCCTCGTTTCGGCGTTAGTCAAACCAGTTGTATCACTCATTTTCTAAATAAAAACAAAGCTAGGTTAAATTCTGCTTAAAAAATGGTTCAATACATGTGATATTTAAAGAGACAATGAAACACTTATTTTCAAAATAAAATGGTAGACAAAGAATAAAAAGGGAGAACAACAACTAAATTTCATTAGTTTTATTTAAATTAGAAATATGGCAGTTCTGAGAAAAAAACAAAATAATATAGCAAACAGTTACACAATGCTCTATAACCTCCGAAACAGATGTCGGTAACTTCGTTGGGAAATGCACAAAAAAACAACGTAAACTGGGAACAATCTGTTAAGCCCAAGAGACACTGCAGTAACTTACTTTCACTGAAAAACTGTCAAAACAGTGACAGAGCAGAGACGAAACAATCTCCGCGGCTTTAGCTGATATCGCGTCAGACAGTCGGTTCGATACCGCTACAAAAGTTCAACACGAAAGCAGACTACGTTCTACCGAAGAGCTATGTCCAGGATACGGAAAATCTTGAAAAGTTACCCCAAATCGAGTATAACCGCCCCCGCCCCCTCGCCGGCCGTGATGGCTGATGTGTTGGTTATGTCAGGCATGTTGTCATCTCAAGAGTACCCGCCAATATTCTGTACTTGTTCACGTGTTCTTTACATTCCAGAAATCACGCCGTCTTGTCTTCAGAGCTTCATTATTAAAAATATTGGCAGTCGTTTTGTGTTCACTAATTTGGCATAAATTTCTCATCCATGTCCCGTTTTCTCTCTCCTCCTCCCCCTCCCCCCTCTCACCTCTCCTTTGTTTATAACCTTTAAACATCCGTGGTGGCTCTGCTGTTTACGAAATTAAATTTTTTGTCAGGCTTTTAATTTGAAAGGGGACCGATAATGAACTCCACCCGTCCTGGTCCCGATCCGGTTTATGGTTGGTTTGACGTCGTTTCGAAGAACCGTAAATGTCTTTGTAGAATGACACTTAAATGTCATATTTCTATTTTCAGAACCACTGCCTCCCGAAGTTCAATCGACGATTGTACCTCTTTTCCACAATAATGAACCATTTATCAAGTCATTCCTCACTGGTGTCCTTCCTGACTGTGATCACCATCAAATTGATGAATACGTTCGGAAGGTAAGTTAGTAGCATGCGCACAAGCAGGTGTTTTATTTAATTAATTTCATTGTATTTGTTCTGCTTTTAGAGTTTCCCCCTTGTGAACCTTGGAAAGAAACATTTTAAGAAGAGACCTCGTGCGTCTAAGGGAGCATTATCTCTCACTGAGAGACGACGTTTAGGACTTTACCAATTGCGTAGGCACGGCTCCAAATATGCAGATGCTGTTCCCGTTAATGAGTTGTGGCTACAATACATAACTAATCTCCTGTCACTAGACAGTATTGCACAATCTGGGTGAGTACCAGCATGATTGATGTCAAAAAATTGTTTGTTGCAGCAAAGCTAATTTTCTTTTCATTTTATAGGTTTACTGCTCAACCCAGTGACAAGCAATGGGCACAAGTTACTCTAGCATTGTACAGAGCAGATTACCATGGAGCTGAGCTCGAAGTGACACGTACTAAATGTAGTTCTCTGAGGGGTATCAAAGGAATTGTGCTGATGGATACCAAGAATACTTTCAAAGTAATTAGTAGAGACAATGTGATTCGCAGTAAGTATGTTGGCTGACCCTGTGTTCTGTTTATTCCTTTCCATAAATAATGTTTCTCTAAAAATGTTTTTTTTTTTCTCAGCTGTCCCAAAAGCACCGTGTGTGTTCAGTATCCAAATTAAAGGATATAAGTGTACGCTATATGGCAAGTATTTCTGTACAAGGCCTGCTGAAAGAAGTGTGAAAAAGGTGAAAGGACACTGCCCTGCTGATTTGTAAATAAGGGAACTTTGTTTGTGAGGGGAAGTTGGTCTGGGAAATAAAGAAAAAGGCTTAGCTATATTGATCAATGAATATTTATTCCATCTAGTTCAATTGAAACACCCTCAAGTTGATATAAATTAGAAATGAGTGAAAGGGCAATTCCTAACATAATACAAGTTTATATGGGTAGAAGTTCAAATGATATTGATATTGAAATTCTGTTTAAATGCAGTACTAGTATTTAGATTCTAACAAAATACAATCATGCAAAACAAAAAAAAAGTGCAAAATATACATGAGGGAGCATTCCTGAACTTTCAGTACTGACATTACCACATTGCAACCTTTTTAGTTTTCCTCCTTCCTGTTTTATGTTTTCACAACCAATTATAGAATGTTAAATCTAGTCATCACATTTGTCAGTCTTTCTAGCCAACCAATTATGTCTTTCCCTCATCCTGAAAACAACCATGAACAGGAATAAAATAATTTAAGACACAGTTGTGATTACTTAAAGAGAAACGGCAAAGAAAAAGATCACACTATCTGGCATTCCACCAAGGATTGGTAGATTTGGAGGAAAAAAAGGTGAAGTAAGAGAGAATTAAATTCAACAAACACTTTGAGCAGAGTTCAATGGTGCAACTGTTGAGTCACAAACCTTTTTGTGCCCTTGTAATTACAACCTATAGAAAAATGAATTTAAACAACTACAGCAGACAATATTGTTAAACAACACTTCAGGCTGGTGCAAAATTTCACAAAGTCAATATGATTTAAATATGTGCCATTCAATTTGTTAACAGTATATCACAGACAATTAACATGATGTTAAATCCTACTCCACATGTACAATTTATGGAAACTACCTTACAACTAGATATGCCTGCCTGGTCGCAAGCTGAGGAGCATGCATGACTCTGAGATCTTTGAATACAGAGCCATTGACAATACCTTTTAGGGCATGTAAATTTTTTCAAGCAAATCTGTCCACTATGGACTAATAGGGGACTGACATTCATTCATTCATTCCAAGTACTCTAAAACATTAGGTGTAAACAAATACTTGACATTACCAAACATGTATAACCAGGGAAAAGAAACAAGAGAATCTTGATACTACCACATGTTCCTAAGTGCATCTACTTGTTAGGACCACTAGATCCAATAACTCTTTCACGAAGACGATCAAAATGATTCTGTACCTGCTTCATTTGCTTGCGCAAGGATTTGGTCACCTCGTGCTGCAACTCTTGAACTTGGTGCACATCCTGGAGTAATTGATCATATTCTTTTCTAACACGTTTCACTTCTACTAACAGCTCCGTCACAAGTTTAGGATCCAGGCCGTCGTCGTCATCATCCTCATCATAGTCCCCTGGTTTCTCTGAGTCTTCTCCCTCGACCTTATTCTCCTTGATGGCCACACGTTTTTCTTCTATTGATGGGTTTCCCTGAATCGAAATTAATGAGGTGCAACTATCATTCCAGCATTGACTTAAATTAAATACAGAAAGCTTAAGCACTCAAAAGACATGGGCTAAACCACACAAAGGATCTCCTGAAAAGACTTTAATTATTAGAGAAATGCTTAAAATAATAAAATAATTATAGGTTTTGTCTCCTAAAGATTAGCATCTAGATTAGATTGGTCTTAATTATTAAATTTTGCAGTTAAATTTTTGTTTTCTTTTAAAAAAAAAACTAACAAACAGTTGAATTTTTCAGCAGAGGGTTGAGCTGAACAAAATGCAATCACACATTCTACAGGTCCCGGTACTTAGCGGGGTTTGGTTCTGCATCTAGACAAGGCAAACCACACAGTAGCATAAAGCAATTTTGAGGGATCGTTTAAGACAATGCATTTCGCAAGCTCTCTTGTTCAGTCTTAGGAACAAGATAAATGAGTCAAGATAGGGAAAAAGGTTCCAATAAAACCTAAAATGTACTGCTGCAGAATGAAAAAGCTAAACTCTTATTATAAACATTACCTTCCAAACATTAAATCTTGCCTGCCTTCAAAACCAGAACTAGATAGAAACAGGAATTACAGAACACAATAAAAATAGAAGAATTATGTGAGATTCACATATCACAGATATAATTTAGAAATATTGCCATAAAACAAAAAAATGAAAACATTTTTCTTGGTTTCAAAATGAATGAGCACACAAAATAAGATACAGGGGGCGGGTCCAGCATAAGTATATGACTAGGGACTTTGTTTTTAAACTTCAAATTAATTAACGAATACGTACCTCTGTCTGATCTGGTAGAAGCACTCTCGACTCAAACTGGTCCAGCCTCATCGTCAGGAGGTCCAACTTGCTGTCCGCTCGGTCCATCTTTAAAATAACATAAGATTTGAATGAATGTTGAGCTAAAAAAAGTGCAGGAGTGACAGAAAAGACTAAAACCGCAGAAAAAAATGACGAGATGCACGAAAAGTAAAAGTGGAAACAAATAATTGAGTCATGCTGACAGCAACTCATGGCATCAAGGGTTAGGTCACCAGGCGGTTCCATACACCAGGTGACTTGATGTTATCGGTTTGGTTTGGTGCCAGTGCCGTGACAGTGCCGTTGACAGACAAGTACGCTGCTAAAATAACCAAAAGCGTCAGCACAACTTAAGGAATGTGGAAGTGCCGCAAAAAAATACTTGGCACCTTCAGATACCCGCCCCTTTTTGACGTAAGTCGGCAGAGATCGTCGGGTATTCACCTGGGACTCCATTTTCTGGACGAGGTTCTCCAAAGTCTCCATATTGTAGGTCAATCTTGTCAAAGCAACCAGGAACCAGGAACCCGGGCACTGACGGTGCTCAGCAGACAGGCCTTCTGTTCTGGGTGCTTAACCCGCTTAAAACAACCAGCCTCCCCCGCTCCCCCGCACCCCTCCCCCTCCCCCTCCGGCTAACGATCCCGCGTCGGGGCCGGCAACCCTCCCCCACCAAAGTAGCGGCCAAACCGAACTGTCAAAACAGTCAAAACGACCGGAAGGACCATCTTGAAGCGCCAGCCAGGGGCCACAGGGGTCACTGTGACATATCCACGTTTTATGGGAAATACTTCGCTTACTCAGTATTTAGAGAAATGGGCAAATATGGAGCTCACAGCTTCCGGCTCTCCTTCGCCTTCGCCCCTCCCCTCGTGCCTCGGTGTGCCCCCCATCTCGTCGTCCACCAACTACCCCCTCGTGCATTCCGCAAAGATAATCTCAAAAGAAGGTGACGTCTACTTTCTTCTTCTGTTTCCTCCAAGGTATAAGTTTTGGTGTTTTGCGGCCCAGCTATAAGCCAGGGAAATCCCAAGATTGTCCATTTATTTTCGTGGTTCCGGCCATTTAGAGAAAATATTTTTGTGACGAGGAGGAAGTTTGGGGCTTGGCTTAGACAGCCCTATGGTCTTCAGAGAGTCCTTGACCTAGCGGCCGCCTCTGTCCGCCATCCAATATCCATGGCCTCGGCCAGCAGGTGCGTGGCAGTGGCAGCGGCAGATGCGCGCGGTTCGACGACGGCCACGTGACCGCTCCGCTGACGAGAAAATTGCCTTTCTCTGCGTCCCGTGCACTACCGTGGACTAGCGGGGACAAGCTTCCGGCGTAATGAAAGCCAGTGGAGCTGCGAGCTCCGGCTCCAGCAGCCTCCAGCCTCCACTCCAGCATGACTCCGGGCCGCGTCCTGCCGCTCCTGCTGCTGCTGCAGGCCCACGGCCACCTCGGCCTCATCCAGCGCTGCGCTCAGGTACAGACTGATTCCGAGCGATTCCGAGAGTCTCTCTCTCGCACCTATACCGGACGTCTCATGAGTGCGAGAGGGACAGAGCGACGAAAATGGCTCTCGGAATCAGTCCGCAGAAATTGTCCTAAGATTGTGATTGAGGGCGGCTTGCTGCGCGTGCTGCGCGTGCTGCGCGTGCTGCAGGTGGAGAGGCAAGGCTCGCCGCTGTTCCAGCTGGTGCGCCGCTGCTCGCGCTCCGCCATGACCGTGGTGGCGCAGGCCAACGTGACGTCGCTCGGCCGCTGCGCCGACCTGGCCGCGTCGCGCCGGGGCCTGGCCTTCAACTACAGCCCCAGGGGTGAGTCGGGCACGTGGGGGCGTGAGCCAAGGCGTGAGCCTAGGCGTGAGCCTCCCTCATGCTGGTGCCGAGCAGTGCTTCGACGACGCTGAGCCCCCTCCCTGCACGAGACTTAACTATTTGGACGACCCCAGGAGCCCCTCGCAGCGAGGGCGTGTACTCCAGCTCCTGCCTCGTGCTGGACTGCCCGGAGTACGCCGAGATGACCTCCCTGCACCGCGATGAGGCCTACGACTACTACAGCCTGTTCACCGACCCCATGCGTGAGTAGCCGGTAGGCACCGCTCAGCTCCGTCTCTCTCACACTCCCCTAGCGGCCGCCGCATGGGTGCGAGTGAGACAGAACGTTCGGGATCAGCGTGCCGGCGGTGCCCCGCGCCCTGGGGCGTGTGTCTCCGCCCGGGGTATCGCCGTGCGGTCATCGCCGTGCTCATGCTCGTCGCGGTGCCTCCTTCCCCACTGCGCAGCGCTCTCCGCGGCGGGCTGGTCCTGCGTGCCGGGCGTGGGGCTGTTCCGGGTGCGCGGGCTGTCGCCGGGCCCGGAGCGCGCCAACCACTCCGTGGCGGCGGAGAGGTGCCGCGAGGACAGCGGCGAGCCTGGCCGCCGTGGGAGCGAGTGCGACGGGGGTTCCGTCGCGTGCCGCGGGCCGCGACAGCGAACCCGCGCGGGGGCCGTGCGGTCATCGACCTGGACGCTCGCGCGGTGGCTCCGCCGTCCGGGGAAGCCCCGCGCGGCGGCGGGTCCGCGTGCGGTGCGACAGAGACTGTTCGAGACGCGGGCTTTCCCCCGATCGCGCCCCCCACCGAGACTGCGGCTGCCGCGAGGATTGCTTCGAGCTGGCAAACTTGCTGAGTGAGGTACGTTTTGCGCGGCTATCCTCGCTGCTGTCTTAAAGGTCAACGTCGTTTCCCACCGTGGGGCCCGTCAACAGGACAAACGTCAGTTCGCCGACATCGCAGGAGGGCCTGATGTCGACTCCAACTGGTAATTTCATCTGCGGGCTCTGCCCCCGAAACTCCCCCCCTGGAGACAAGATTGCTTTCCGTCGCTCACTTCCCTCTTAGTCTACTACCTCCTCAGATGCAGACTGGTTCATTTTCGTTCATCGTCTTTCCGCAGTGGCGGCCGATACACACGTATACAATGCTTAGACCGGAGCGACTCAAACGGGTCCGAGTCTGCTCCGACTTGCTCGATGCTGCCTATGCTTCTAAGGAGCTGCTGCTTCTAGCTTCCCGCTGGCGCTTGTCGCCCGCGCTGTCGCCGGCGAACCGCCGGTCGGCGAGGGAGGACTGCGTGGTGCTGGAGAAGAAGAAGTCGTGGGCCGTCACGGACTGCGCCAAGAGGATGCCCTTCATCTGCGAGCTGTACCCGGGCCAGGGCGGCGCGGACTGCGACCACGAGGGTAACGCCCTCCGCCGTCTCCGTCGCACTCTCCTTAAGGGTGCGAGGGAGACAGAGCGACAAACCGCTCTTCTGAATCGCTCAGCAGCACTGCACAGCACGCTCTCACGCACACACACGAATGCGAGCGGCAAGCGCCGGACGCGCCGCCAGAGCGCCTAACGAACTTAGGCTAGGCCAGCCCGCCACACTGCCGCGTCCTGCGACCCGCTGCCTCGCAGGCGCTCCACGGCCGGCGTGCCGGTAGCGTGGACTGCTCCGCTGATCCCGTACAGTTGCTTTCGTCGCTCTGTCTCTTTCTCCCCCGCGGGTCGCCCCGCGAGGGTGCGAGAGAGACAGCGACGAACGGCTGTCCAGAATGATACTTCTAAAGCGCCCCTGTCGTGTCCGCGACAGACGACGACGCCAGGGAAGCGTGCCTGGAGCTGCGGCGCCATCAGGGCGGCCCCCAGGACCGCTGCGAGGGCTGGGAGCTGCTCAACGTGCCTCCACCCGCGCCCACCACCACGGCCGCCCCCATCCCGGACTACGGCGACGACTACGACGACGACGCCGAGGGTGGCGGCGCCGGCGGCTCCACCGGCCAGGACGACGACGACGACGTGGACGACGACGGGGTTCGCGTCGTCAAGCGGCAGTCCGGGCGGCGGGCGAGTCTACGGCCCTGACAGTGCCTGACAGCGCCTGCAAGGCTCTCTGGAATTCCCCGCCGCGCCGAGCGGCGCGCGGAGAGCTTCGCAAGCAGTTAAAAACTACAATGTAGGCGCCAGTGGGACTGGGGCGGGCTGCGCAGGTGCGGTGGGGCGAGGAGAAAAAGAAGAGGCTGTGTTGTGGCCGCCTGGCCAGAGGAGGAATCCACGGCACGCCTCGCCCCGGGAAACTCATTTCGAAGTTCCATTTCTCTCCCCACTCACGATCAAAGGCGGGGGTGGGGCGGCGCGGAAAGTCGCTATGTGAGTTATGCCCCATTTTCCGCCGCAACACTTTTCCCTTCGGCCTCGGGGTTGCAGAAGGAGGGCAGGGCCACGTCCTGAATACTTCTATCTTTATTTTGTTTTGACTCGCCGCCCTGCGTATGAATGGGATGGGGAGGGATAATCGGGCCTCTCTGCCGGCCTGGGCTCCTTGTCCTGGTTGGGGGAGGGGGGACGCCCAAGTACCGACTATGCGCAACTGTGCTTTCGTACAAGCAATCTGCTTCAGATCGTCAAAGCCCCAAAAAAGCCCCTGAGGGGTTCTCGGCCTTGGAAGGGGCGGGCAATAAAGAATAGCCCCAGGTGCGGTGGTGCCTGAGGGACGGTACCTCAGGTGGCGCCACCCCGCGATGCTCCGCGCTACTTGCGCTGCAGGCGGTGCAGCGGCACGTAGCCCTTGGGGCAGTGCTCGTAGGCCGTGCGGAAGCCCCACTCGTTGGCCATGCTGCACAAGTGGCCCGTGATGATGGCGAAGACGGCCAGCGGCTCGCCCTCCGCGCTCACCTGGACGGGGAGGGCAGGGCGCACTCAGCGGCCAGCCTGAGTCCAGCCAGCCAGTCTACGGCCAGGCTGAGTCCAGCCAGCCAGTCTGCAGGGGTGCTCACCACTTTGCAACGCCGCCCGAAGGCCCGCTTGAGCACCTCGGTGTGGCGGTGGAACACGCGCAGCCGCTCGGCCGCCACGTCCTCGTCGGCGTCCTCGCGGCCGCGGCCCGCCAGCCGCCGAGCCAGCGTGCTGTCCCTCGCCGCCAGGTAGATGACCAGGTGCGCCCGCGCCACCTGCGATTCGGCAGGGCCCGGCCAGAGGCCAGAGGCCGGGCGATCTAGCAAAGCGATCTAGCCATCTGTCGGAGGAACGAATGGGCCCGTAGGGGTGGGGGGCCTCGTCCTTGTAGGTTTGTTCTCGGTTCTCACCTCCTCCTCGAAGGCCACGGCCTGCGCCTCGTCCCGAGGGAAGCCGTCGATGAGAAAACCAAGAGACGTCTTCAATCGCGACAGCATGGCCTGCTTGAGCAGCTCCAGGATGACCTCCTGACATTGGCATATGACATTTATTTTGCTGTCAATCGCCCACCCCTCAGTCCCTTTATACAAAATCAGTTTTCCGAAGTTGGATGTGCTCGCTACCTTGGGCACCTCCTCGCCGGCCTCCACGATGGGGGCGACGAATCGGCCCACGCCGGAGCCTGCCCGGATCTCCTGGCGCACCAGGTCGCCGACGGAGAGGTGCGTGAGCCCGAACCGTTTGGCGATGAGGTCGCTCTGCACGCCCTTGCCGGACCCGGGGCCGCCTGGGTCGCCGAGCACACCGCAATGGCACACTGAGCTCTCTCCGAACAGCGCTTTCGCCGCGTTGTCTCCCTCCCTCCCCTACGGACGCTACGGACCGCCCCACGAGTGCGACAGAGACGGAACGACGAGAGCACTGTTCGGCACCGGCCTGCAGGTGTTTGCGTGAATGAGGCAGGTGCCGGGGGCTTTCCATGAATCACGCGACCTTTTGTGTGCGGCCAGAGGACCGGTGGAGGCGGCCAAACTTCTAGTCGCTCAACAGGACTCGGACCGAACGCCTGACCCCACCGGATGGCCTACCAATGATGAACACGATGGGCACGAGGGAGCGGCGCAGGCATTGGGCGTCCACACTGGAACGGGGAAGTCCAGCGAGCTGCACACAGCGGGCATTCGCAGGTGTTTACTTTTCCCCCTTCGAACACCGCGAAACCCCCAGCCCACATTTCCCTTTACACGCGAATCTTTGGGCCCGATTGAGAAACAAGCTCACCGGATCGGGAACTGGCTTGAGGCACATGGGAGCACCCGGAGCGCAGTCCTTGATGTACCTTTGAATTCAAAATTTTAAATGTTGAGAAGCTACACGCAAAAACATTGAATCAGTCGCTTAAATTACCTTTCATAATTCAAAAGATCAGTGCACAAGCGTATTTTGTCAAGTATGGGCTTTGCACACTTTTCGGCTGGGATGTGCGGCATTTTTGTCAAGTTTGCTAGTTTTTCAAGTTTCTTTTTTTACTTTTAATTTTTTTTTTTAGCCGAACTTTGAAGGGTTTTTACTGGTGTGTGTTGCCATGGTAATGTGTTTCCTCCATTGTAGGTGACTGGAGTACTGAATGTAGCTACTGAATGAAAAGTTTGTGAATAGTGCTGCATATGGATTATTTATTCATCTGCCTTTCAAATTGTTGACACTTCAAATAATAGAGCAGAAAATAGATATATAAGTCTTAACATAACAATAACAATATAATCACATCACCTATAGACAAGGAGTGAGCCTCAAGTCCATTTCCACATCAAGTAAATGTCAAGTAAGTGTTTGTATATCACAAATGAATATCTCTCAAGTATTTTAAAAAGCAAAAGCACAAGGGATGATTTTAAGAAATTTTTCCAAAATATTACACTTTGAGAGTTGGTTTACCACTCTATCTTAACAGGAAAACATGAAATCAAACTGAGTGACTAAGTGTGTCACAAGAATCAACTCAACACAATTTATCAAGAATTCAAGCACTTTTTCAAAGTCAAATTTTGTATTTTCTAAGCACGGAATGCACAGATGAACAGTCTTACTTGTTAGCAATTAGCAACTGAATACAACAGCATCTTGAAAAATAATACCAGGGAAATGTATTTAACTATTGTTTCAGACCAATGTAAGACACTGCTTTCCCAGTTTTCTTTAAGGCTTCCAGGAGCTGATCAGAGGACAAGGTAGATGTCACAGACACCAACTGGCCAGGTAGATCAATGCTGACAGAATCAACACCTTGACCTGTAAATTTGAAGAAAATAAATTAACTAAAAGCGTAACAAATGACTTGTTTATAATTTTTGGTCAAAGAAATGGTTGGACGAAAAATTACCTTTCAGCTTTCCAAGAACACGCTCAACAGCACCTGAGCATCCCTCGCAGGTCATTTCCACCTTGAAATTGTGAATCTGCAGGAACGAAAGAATCATAGATCAGCTGAGCTAGTGAATTATTGAATAAAATTGGATACGTTCAAATGGTTTAGCAAAAAAAAAAGTGGCTTTATTTCTCCTTATTAAATGACCGAGGGCAGAAACGAAAAGAGGGGAAAGGATTGCCAAAATAGAGAGGAACGGGGAAAATTTAGGATGAAAGTCCAAACTTCAAAACGAAAGGATAACCTAAGTAAAGATAGTGCAAAGCAGACGAAGTACTCACTTGGGCGGCCATTCTGACGGCTTGGCGTGCGGAGACTGACAGTCACGAGCTGCGCTGGGGAGTGTCGACAGAGGAATGAGCGCACAAGATTGGGCGAAACAGCAGGAAACGTACAGAACAGCTGCACAAGTGTTCCAAGCGACCCCGGCGTCTTGTTTTGATTGATCCCCCCTTGCCAACTCGTCGTCCTTTTCCTTTCCCTCCCCTCCCCGGCCCTTCCCCCCTCCCTCCCTGCCTGTTGCCTTCACAATGAAAAATTACGCATCCACTTTTTCCTTTATGGTGAATCATATGAACTTGAAAATCAACGAAAAGACACATCAATTGAGGGGCAATGTAACATGTTCGTACAGTTCGTCGATCAGACTGGCCGACCGGTTTGTTCAGCAAATCAGGATCCTTTCATCAAAAGTTTCTTTAGATTTAAACTGCCCTTTTAACTTCTCATACAGTCTGAGAAACTTTGAAGCAGATTCAGGTTCACGCCAAACATTCAGGTTGGGGTTCGACTTCTGTTTGTTGTGGTCTACTGTCTGGAAGTATTTTCCAGTATTTTACTGTACGTTTCTCGCAGTGACTGCGCTGATCATCTCTGCCGATCGACGCTGCGTTTCCTCTTCTTTGGTCGGCGTCATCGTGTGTCCTCGTCGAGACTAGATGCGTTTGCAAAACACCTTTCAACTGACTTACCTAACCTGAACACGTCACGTGTAAACGTTTTGGAACTCTTAATTTTTGCCCCCAAAATGAGTGAAGGTTTAGTTCAGACCAAATCGTCGCAGTTGCGTAAAAGTACTGATTTCCAAGAAGTTGTGTTCACAAGTTACAAAGCGAAAGAGAAAAATGCTGCCGCCACTGCTCCTGCCTCCCGAAGAAAGTTCGAACAAGATCAAATGAATAGGAGTGAAGAAAAGGAACGCTTCATGAAGAAAACAAGACATGAGATCATCAAATTAGGACTAAGTGGTTTTGATCCTTCTAAACGACAAAAAACTAAAGAAGCCTTAGCTATTTCACTTGGTGCGAAACCGAAGAAAACTAAGCCTATGAACTATAAGGAGTTTAAAGAAATGCATTCAAAACGGAAGAAAGAGGAAACAGAAAAAACAGCATTCAACAATATAGGAAAAACCCCAACTGGAGAAGCTTTAGCTAAAATCAAAACTCGAATGGATCTCAACAAGCGGGCACCAAGAGGAGATCGGAAAGGAGGTATCCTTGACACTTATGGCAGAGTTAAAAAGAATGACATTCCAAGACCGAAGAAAAAGTGATAACTTGTAACATGGACCATGTAAATTTATGTGAATAGCTATGTACTTGTAATTAAGTTCAGTAAATGTTCTGATTATGAATCTGTCAGATCATAATTTGTGCATTTTGTTCTATGGCATCCATCATAACCTTATTGGTTTAGAACTAGAATGCAGGTTATTAATTAACGATATCAATGTCAGTTTATTTATTTTGTTAGTGTCAGGTGGCCTGTTTAAAGAAAGTTTTTTATTATGTCCTGTTTCCACCAATAAAGAAATAAGAAATATTTCCTTTTCAATAACAATTTATTTTTCCGCCGCCTTTCCGAAGCGCGTTGGCGCGTTTCCCCAAGTGGCAAACGTCAACGTTACTTCGCTCGGTTCGCTCCGTCCACCAACCCTTTACCGCCCCCTGCCTGACCCCCTGGCCTAGCCCTGGCCTTCCCTCGCCGCGACCACCGGGACGCGCTGCCCGGCCGCCAGAGGTCGCCACTAGGGCCGCGCTGGCCCGTGCCAGAGAGAGTCTCTCCAGCCTGCGTCTCCGCTCACTCGTGATAAAGTATCCCTCCAGCCTGGGTCTGCGACACGGTCACACAAAGAGAGTCTCTTTTGTCTGGGTCTCCCTCAGACTGCGACACGCCCAGAGTCTTTCCAGTTTGAGTGCCTCCGTCCCATCGTTGATAGAGTGCCGCGACAGCGCGACACGCATGCATTATGCAGCGAGGCGTCTGCTTCTTCACACGAGCCATAGCCATACCGCGATCCAATTTATACCCAAATCACGGACGAGACCGCGAGGGATCCGCAAACGTCGGCGGGCTGATTTCGAGAGTCGTTTCGATCGTCCTGTCTCTCTCGCACTGATGGGCCGTCCCGTGTAGGTGCGAGAGAGAGTGACGAAGTCTGCTGGCGAGGGCGAGACTGACAAGGCGCCAAGGACCTTGCCGCCTCGTGGGCCTCGCCAAGGGCGGCCTTAACTGGGGAAGCCCATGCCACCGCACGATACGGATCGCGACGCGGGGAGTCGATGGACACGGACACAATGTTGGCAAACACGAGTGCGACACTTGTCACCGCTTGTCACACAGACACCGGCCCAAGGAGCCAGCAAGCTCATTCCGAACAGTGCCTCGGCCATGGAGTTCGGTGGGCGGTTCAGCTTTGCATCAGGTCCAAAATCTTACTGACAAACAACCGAACAGTGCTTTAGGACTCAGCCGCTCTAGATAGGATCGCTCTGCCTCCCTCGCACGTCCAATGGACAGTCCATGAGTGCGAGAGAGACCGAAAGCGCGGAATCAATCTTCAAAGCCCCCCACCGTGCGAGGCCTTTCATGCCTTTGACCAGCCGACCGCCCCGCCATGCCCCGCTCCCCGCGCTTTTAGTGTAGGGGAGGCGCCTTCTTTTGCGACGACCTCCGGGCTGCCCACGGCTTGACAGCGGGGCCAGCAGGGTGTTGTGCCGTGCCTCCCGCTTTTGCTGCCTTGATGTTGTTGTTGTGTCAGGACGCCTGTAGCGTGTTGTTGTTGCTAAGTGCTCGGCCGAATGGGAGTGCCTTGCGCCCTTCGATGAGGCCCTTGCCGTGCCGCGCCACCCCGTCGCCCCGTCGCCCCGCGTCGACACGGAAGGCCTGAAGGCCCCCAAGAAGGGCGTGGGTGCCGAGCTGCCCGAATCATCCCTTCCGCACCATTTCCCTGAAACACCTCTCGGCCACGCCCCGCCACGCCCCGCCACGCCACCCTCGGCACGGCATGGCATGGCAGTGGAGGCAACGCCATGCCGCTCTGAAATAATCCCCATGCCGCCACTCCCTCAATCACAGTGTCGCTGCGTCTCTCCGCTTTTGCAGTGACCCTTGGGAAACTGTCCTGAATTGAAAGGTAGCACCTTAGCTTTATTTTCTCTCGCACGTGTTGGCGTTTTTTTTGCCATTTCGTTGGTTGTAAAACTAAAGCGACCTCTTTAACCACGTGATTTTAAAAACCTGTCGGGCTGCTGTCACTGTCGCGGATGCTGATGACGCTCGTAATGAAAAGTCGAGTCCCCCGGGGACCACCCCGCCCCGCCCCGCCCCGTCACTACTGGCATGGCAGGAATCGGGACAGGACGGATAGCGAAGCGGGGGAGGGGAGGGGAGGGGGCCGGAAGAAGAGAAGGGGAGGGGAAGCGATATGCAAACATGGCCAGGCTGTTGGCACTGTTGACGCACCGACCGTGGAAAAGAGAGGGGTGGGGTGTAACAGAGAAAGGCGTGTGCGGATTCTTCTTCACCTTGCAGTGCAGCAGGCTGCTTGGGCACGAAAACACTTTTTGACCCCATCATTTACCAGACTGATTCCCAGAGTCGTTTTTTTCCCCGTGTCTGTTGAAAGGCGAGCTTGGCGAACGAATGCCCCCTGTAACGTGCCGACGTGCCTTGGGGAGTATTTAGTCCTTAGCGGTAGCTCACCCACGTCCACACGTCGCCCACACACGTGCGTGCGTGCGAACTCCCGTCCACTCGCGTTCGCCTGCAGACTGATTCCGAGAGTCGTTTTCGTCGCTCTGTCTCTCTCGCACTTATATGGGCCGCGCCACGAGTGCGAGAGAGACAGAGCGACGGAAACGGAGTCTGCTGGTTCGCCCTTCCCCCTCGCCCCTGCGGCCTGCGGTGCTGCGGCGCTGGCGTGGCCAGATCATACGTCACCGTCAGCGTGAGGGCCTCGTTGTTCCAAAACAACATCCATCCTGCCTCTCCCTGGTCTCCCTGGCAGAACCTCGTGGACTCGACGTGGCGGCCGGTTTGCGGCGTTTCTGGGTTCTGGGCGGGGCCCTGCCCTCCAGACAGCCCAAGTGCTGAAGGGGGAAACCGGCCCAAACCCCTGGCACTTCCCCGGGGCCCCCAACCTTTTTCCCAATCCGTTTCCGGAACCGAGATTTTGGGGTATGGCTTCGGGCCCTTCCCCCTCGCCGGCCGGGACCCCCCCCCGGCCCCCACTTCAAACTTGCGTCCCACACTGCTTCATATCGGTCGAGTTCTGAAGGCCGAGTCCGAACAGTGCTATTCGTCGCTCTGTCTCGCTCGCACTCTCTGGGTCGTCCCCTCGGGGTGGGAGAGAGACAGTGGAGCGACCAGCACAGAGGCGTAGGTGGAGCGAGGCGTCCTTGTTCCCCCGCCCCACACTGTGGCACACTGTAGGACACTGCCGCCCAGCAGCGCCGTCTCGCCGCCAAACTCGCCGTCGATTCGATTACAGCAGGCTGGCGGCTGTCTCCGAGCGGCGGGCCTGGCTTCTCGCTCTCTCGCACCCACACGCACCCCCCGCCCCGAGAGTGCGAGAGACAAAGACAGCGGAGCGACCTCTCGCTCGGAATCGGTCTGCTGGGCGCACATTCAGACATCCAGACTGGCAGAACAGAATTGGCAGGAGCCGCAGCTGCGGAACGCGTCGACGGCCGCCGCGGACTGATTCCGAGAGTCGTGTTCGTCGCTCTGTCTCTCTCGCACCTGTAGCGGACGCCCCACGAGTGCGAGTGAGAGAGCGACGAAAACGAATCAGTCTGCAGGTGGGTTTCCACCTGCCACCAGCCTGCCGTCTCTACACTCTGCACCGTGCCTGCTGCAGGCTCGGACTGGCCAGGGCAGACAGGCAGAAAAATCTGCCGGGGCCTTTGGATTTGTGACCAGTAACGTCACGAAGTTGGTCAAAAAGTGATTGAATCTCCGAAACTAGCCGTTTTCGCTGAATTTGAGCGGCCACTGCTTCGATCTAGTTGCGGCCAACGGCCTCCCTCGACGTCCTAGTATTCTCAAGACCCTACTCTTTCATGCCCTGTATCGGGAAGACGTTGACCACAACGATTTTGCCTTTGACCGCAACGATTTTGGGACCAAAGTTGGTCAAAAAGTGGTCGAATCTCGGAAATTTGCTGATTTTGCTGACTTTGGGGGGCCACTGTGTCCAATCTAGTTGCCGTAAAAGGCCTCCCTCGACGTCCTAGTATTCTTAAGACCCTACCCTTTCATGCCCTGTATCAAGAGACGTTGACCACAACGATTTTGCCTTTGACCGCAATGATTTTCCGACCAAGTTGGTCAAAAAGTAGTCGAATATCGGAAATTTGCTGATTTTGCTGACTTTGGGTGGCCACTGTGTCCAATCTAGTTGCATTAAAAGGCATTAAAAAAGTTGGTCATGAAGCGTAAAAACAATGAGTCTGCAGGTGGGTTTCCACCTGCCACCAGCCTGCGGTCTCTACACTCTGCGCCGTGCCTGCTGCCAGCCTGTTGCCAGCCCCGCAGTGTGTTGGGCCGTGGGGCCGTGGGGCTGCAGCAGGGTGGCGGGGCGGCAGGGCGGCGCGACGTGGACGTGGAGGCTGCTGACTAGGTTACTTAATCCCGAGGGACGCGGCGGCCCGGTGCTGGGCGCCCCTGGGCACCCTCGGGGCCCCTCCCTCCCCGTCCTCCCCTTTCCACGCCACTGGCTGGACCCCCACGGACTGTCAGGCTAGGCGAGGCTAAGGCCGATAGGCACGCATTCACAGCATGACCTTGGCTGCGGCTGGGCGTCCGGGCCGCGTCATGGACCAGAGGGGCGAGGGGAGGGGGAGGGCATGCCTAGGCTTGCCCGGGCTTGCCCCAACCCCGAGGCATGACGTGCACCCCCAAAGTATAAAAGAATCGCGGAACAACACGAGTTGGAGTTCAAGATTGGCTTTCTGCGTCAGGGTGCGCTGCCCAACCCCACCCACCCCCACCCCGCCCACACCGCTCCCCCCTTCCCGCGCTCCTGTCTTATTTCGTTGCAATTAGGTGCGGCGGCGGGAGTGGGCTGGCTGTGGGCTGGCTGCCGAAGCAGCGCCGCTGTAGTTTGGAGGCAAGTTTCATAAAGGCGTCCACCGCGCCGCGCCGCCGCTCGGCGCAGGATTAGGCCAAGGCGCGGAGGATTCGCCCTTTGTGCTTCCCCCCCTCCCCGTTTTGGACACGTGTACAGGAACAAAAGGACGCGCGGGCAGCCATGGAATGTGGACTAGAAGCGCGTTTTCGGAGTTCGTTTGGGTCACATTGGGCGGCGAGGTGGCATTCCTCTAGTAGAATGGCGTGGCCTGCATCTGCCATCTGCCTGCACGCTTCACCGACCCGGCCGCGCAATCTGTTGCCAGGCCGCCGCGCCGCCAGGCCACGCCAGGCCACGCCAGGCCACGCCAGGCCAGCCGGAGCGCTTGACAGGTGCGGAAAGCAGAGCACCACCCCTCCTCGCCCCTGCCACCCCGCCTCGCCCCGCCACGCCCCGCCTTTGACAGCGC